ACTATTCTTAGCAGGGCAAGCAGCTTCCTGTCGGAGGCCGGATGTTGCAGCAGATGCGTGTGTTTGAGGGTGTGCTGTTGTCACTGCAAATAGGCTTCAACCAATACTTCTACCAAGTAAGTTTTCTCCCTACAGATTACTCTCTGTGATTCATAAATCATACTTTAACTCATGAAAGATTGTGACTGGCAAAGCAGTTCAATTTTACAAAGAAGTTGTTCTCTTGTGCAAATGCAAAAACAAAATTAGAGAAGGGAAAACATTGTCCTTCACAGCAGAAAGCTGTCTCAAGGTGCCTATGGTTGAATCTCACTTTTACAGAACCTGCCACTGTGAAGATTCACCTGTCATCCCAAAGAAAGAGGAAATACCAAAAGAAATCTAGAGGTCATAGGCACGAATAGAAAATAACCGGAGATTTAACATGGATAAATGCATCTGGGCAAAAAAGTAATCCCAGAATTCTCTGTGTATGTAACATGCATCCATACTTAGGAATATTAAACATTTATTCTATCAATTTCTTTAGATCAGTATGCGACTGCTAAGACAGATTGCTTTCATGGATTATGATTAAGTAAAGAGAAATTCCTGTTCTCATGTGTCATTAGGGTAAAAACCTGTAGCATAAACTGGCTTTGCTTTATTTTGCTGTGCTGTATATTAAGATACTCAAACATTAATAAAGGATGAAGTTACATCATGAAGCTTATCAGAAAAGGGCAGAAAATATAGAAAAGGTCTGAAATGAAAATTCGATCAACCGTATTGTGAGAATTCAAGCTTCCTTCCTTCAGGATGTAACTGCATTTCAGATTCCTGTTATCATCATCAAACCTCTGCTGTCTCCATATTAGAGCCATTTCTATCCAATACAGGTCAGCCACTTCCAGAGACTGATCCACTGCCATTTATTTTGGCAAGCTTCCTTTTCTGCAAACATTTTCAGTACAAAAATACTTTTATAAACTGAGGCGTAATTCTGAAAAAATCCTCTCACTTTTTTTACTAGAATTAGGATCTCTGGTATTTCCTTATTTAAATGCACTTCAACAAACAAAACTACAGAGATTAACACTGAAAATGTTTAAAAACAAAGGGCTAATAACACACCATTATAGCGAAAAGTCAATTCTTGCTAGTAATACACTGCCAAATGGTTGTCTGCCCTTAATGTTTCCAACACTTCGCAATGTAGGTCAGCTCGAAAAAGAACTTTGCCATATTTTTCACTTTCACAGAAGAGAGTAAATGTAGGTGCTCATAATGTGAATTATCTTAATTTGAGACTTAAATATCCCTTTCCACGACCTATACCATCTTTATGGCACGTCACAATTACACAACTGATGAAAAAGTCATGAGAAATATATCACTTAACTTGAGTTGCATACTTATGACATAAAAGCAGAAGATGGATCCTATCTCACCTCCAATCAAGCGCTACTTTTTTTTCCTTCTCATTTTCTCTTAAACGAATTGGGTCGTCCATACTTCTCTCCTAATGTGCCCTACTATTTTACAGACTTCAGCTTATCCCCTCCCCTTTGCAACTTCTCAAACATCTCATCTCACTTAGAGAATCAAACCTTAACAACCACCTCTACATATTGACAGCACAGTAAATGCCCTGGTACAAAACAATGTTATGACTTATATTAGCCTTGTCCACAGATGCCGGAACTGACATCGGTCATTAGGAGCACGGATATTCACATGCAGGGATATACAAACAAGGGCCTCGGAGAGTGATGAGTAGGAGTTGCTATTAAACATACACACACAGACTGACAAAAAAAAAAGAGGTGGACTGTGAACTTTCAAACAACTGACCTGACTATCCAAATCATCCACTACTAATAGAAGCCTTTGACTTTTCAGGTTTTCAAGCAAAATCTGTTACTTATAAAAATCAAGAAGATAGGCGTTAATCAAAAGAGTCCCTGCTGTCCCTCTAGAATGCCTGATTTTGTTCAATACCAGGAAAACACTGGCTCAATTCAGAGTTGATTCTTTTTTCGGTAATAACTTTACACTTTAATTTAAAATAAACACTGTCTCCTTCCCTCAGGATAATGGGATGTATATAAGAAACCAATTAAAAAGTTAATGTCACTTCTACACATTTAGTATCTATTTATTGCTGGTATCTCCTTGAAGTACAGGGGAAAAAATGGCAAGTTTGGATCCCAGTGAGCAGGAAGTGTTGCATACTTTTCTACAATGGTGACAGTACAGCATTGCTGTGACAAATAAAGAAACATTATCCATAATTAAAAAATGTTGGATCAATATGAATCTCAATAACAATGATTTCAACCATCTATATTATACAGTTTAACATCTCTCAGTTGTAAAAAATATTCTGCTAGTCAATATCCGATGTTCAAGGATCACTGAAGTTGTCAGTGACAGGAAGAATGAGAATATGGTGAGAATATCAGTTTCTTTTCAAAATTACTCAGATGTCATCAAAAAATTCAGCAACTGTTAAAGAATGCAGAAGATGAAAGTAAGTGCATTTAAAACTCCTACTAAGAATCTAGCTTCCCCATTACAATCAAAATTTGAATAATTTCTACAGCGGAAACCATGTGTGTACTTTATTAATGTTCTTAATAAATACAACTTGGAGAACTACTCATTTAATTCTACTCACCTGTACTCTTCAAGGGACAACTTTCTATTTTACATAGCACAGAAATCTGCTGTACCTTAAAACTTCAATACAGAAGATGGAGGAAAAGAAACTGATAAAAGAAAATTTTGCATGTTTTTTTTTTTCTGACTGTATTATTTCCAACACACTATGCTATTTTATTGCTCACTTGACAATTTCTTTAATTGCACAGAAATAAGCCTTTAAAGTAAACTCAGGCCTTGCTCATACTAGGTGACTTTTTTTGCTTTGTTTATGAAGTCTGAACTGAGTCTTCACAGTTGATAAAGCAGA